GCGGCCCGCCCAGGCCTTCGTGTACCACCTGCACTGCTTCGCCTGCATCGTCTGCAAGCGGCAGCTGGCCACCGGCGACGAGTTCTACCTCATGGAGGACAGCAGGCTGGTCTGCAAGGCGGACTACGAGACGGCCAAGCAGAGAGGTACCCCGGCCCTGTCCCCTGCTGAGGGGGGGCAAGAGACAGCTCAGCGTCCCCCACCCCTCAACACCCGCTCATCCAGCAGCCTGGTCTAGGGGAGAGGGAGGGATATGGGGAGCATCAACCTTTGGCGAGGGAAGAGGGAGCTCCCCCGTCCCTGGGGATCCCGGCTCCAGGCAGCTCCTGCCCTGCTAACTCGCTCCGTGTTGGCAGAGGCGGAGTCCACGGCAAAGCGACCCCGCACCACCATCACCGCCAAGCAGCTGGAGACCCTCAAAAACGCCTACAACAACTCGCCCAAACCAGCACGGCACGTCCGGGAGCAGCTCTCCTCGGAGACAGGGCTGGACATGCGGGTGGTGCAGGTGAGCGGGGTCCCCAAGGGCTCAGCCCGGGGTGCTGGGGTGGGAGGTGCAGGGCTGGGAGGGGACAGTGACAAGTGACAGCCCTGAGGGACAGAGAGGCAGCTCCCCGCTGTGCCCTGCCCGCAGGTCTGGTTCCAGAACCGGAGGGCCAAGGAGAAGAGGCTGAAGAAAGATGCCGGGAGGCAGCGGTGGGGCCAGTACTTCAGGAACATGAAGCGGTCCCGGGGGACCTCCAAGTCGGACAAGGACAGTATCCAGGAGGAAGGGCCTGACAGTGATGCTGAGGTCTCCTTCACAGGTCAGTGCACCCAGGTGGGGCATCGCTGCGGGTGAGCTGTGCATCCGCCTGCCATGCAAACACCCGGCTCTCTGCCTAGGGTCATTTCACCCCTTTAGTGCTACTGTAATAATTTCCAAAAGTATCATAAAGAGTGAAAAATAAGAGCCCAAAAGGAAGGAGGGAGGGAGTACCATAAGAATCACCTGGGCACGCGCTGCAAGTGCCTCACATACAGTCTTCTCAAGGAACTCAGAAATACAAAATCCAGAGAGCCCAGAACCACAGAACTGAATGTTTCTATGGCAAGAAGTACATACAGATTTTTTTCATCCTATTTAAGGATGGTTTTATTTGCACAGTTATGAGTTAGGGTGCCCTGCCCAGTGCAGTGGGAAAGTCTTCTGTCTCTGCAAAATACATTGGTTTAAGCTAGGAGGTTTCTGTAAAGAGAGCTCCTGGTTTTTGGAGCAGAGATGCCTGCGGATCAGCACAGGGAAGCCCCTGTGGCGGCTCTCAGCCCCGGCAGCCTCAGCCTCTCCTCTCTGTCCTTGCTGTGGGCACGAGATGCGGCTCCGCGCGGGGACATCGGTGCTCACCGCTCATCGGAGCTGCTCCCTGGGGACAGGCGCCTCCTGCCCGTGTCCCTGCAGCCTCCAGCTCCGTGCGTGTGTCAGGGTTTCCATCATTTTTAGTGAAAACCAGAAATGCAAAGCAGTGTGTACATATTTACACAGTTATGTGTCCAGAGCGCATGTATGTATACACACCCACAGCTTTGCAGTCCAGCTTCTCTCCTGTATTCTTAAAAACAATTTGATTTCCAAGTCTGTTTATACACTCTGTGCATCAGCATCATTAAATATGAATATACCATAAATAATAACGAAAAATATTAAACAATTATTGATAGCTTGCTCCCCCAAACAGATTTGTGTCCTTGGCAACAAAACCACGCTCAGCAGCTGCAAAGCCTCCAATAATGCAAACAATTGCTTGCTGAGAACTATTTTTTTAAAATGTTTTTAAATTGTTTGGACATCTTTCATTTGCCTGTCCCTGAGCAGCCAAATATGCTGAAATTTAATAGGTTTTTCTGAGTGATGAGGGAGTTTTTTTTGAATCGGTGGGCACTCAGGTAGCTCCTAAAACTGATGGCAAAAACAGAAATACAGGGCCAAACAGAAATGCAGAAAAAAGGTGGAAAGAATTTAAACTCCATGCCCTTTAAAAGATGAATTTTAAATCACAGTCTTATATTTTAATACCTACTTTTCACACATATTTTTAAAAATTTCAAATGAATTAGGCATTACCAGTCATAAAAAAAAAATGAATCCCCTGACTTTCTGTGAAGATTTCTTAACAAAACAGGGATGATAAGAGCAGGAATTGCAGGTGACGAGTGGCCGTTCAGCTCCCATCTGTCCAACGGATCCAGGCTGGGAGCACGTGGGACCTCCGGCGCGGCGGGCGCTTTGCCCTCCCGCTCACCCCGCTCGCATTCCCTTGCAGACGAGCCGTCCATGTCGGACATGAGCCATTCCAACGGGATTTACAGCAACCTGAGCGAGGCCTCGCCGGCGCTGGGGAGGGCGGCCGGGAGCAACGGCAGCTTCGCGCTGGATGCCGGCGGCCTCGCGCCTCCGGAGCAGTACCACGACCTGCGCTCCAGCAGCCCCTTCGGGATCCCACCGTCGCCGGCCTCCTTGCAGGCTCTGCCCGGCCACCAGCCCCTCATCTCCAGCCTCGTTTACCCAGACGGCGGCCTGGGCCTCATGGGCCAGGGCGGACAGGGGGTGCCCCCGGGCATGCGCGTGCTGCCCGGGAACGGACCCAGCTCCGACCTCTCCACCGGCAGCAGCGGCCGCGAGCCCC